CTGAGATACCCTAACCTAAAACTGCAAAAATAGCAGCTTTTGCCTATATTGTATAATGTTGTCCTAAAAATTTCTTTTCGATGCCTCAAATATTCAGACATTATTAGTGCATAAAATAGACTTCTTTAAGACCTTGTGTGCTATCTGGGTACATGCTCTCCCCGAAAACAGCCGACCTAATACTACAACTGACAACTAAGTTCTGACACTCTTGGGTTGTAGATGAGATCCGAGATTGTGGAGTCGCTTCTCAATAATAGAATGGCTGAACCCGAGTGCTGCTCCCAATTAACGAGTCGTGGAGTCGGATGTTCTGATAGCAAAGCACTGTCTTGCAGGTTGGTCTGTCGGTGAGCGCTGCAAGTCGTCCAAGCTCACATCTCCAGATGTAAATCGGCAAAACCAGCTACTCGTTATCGAATAGCTTACTGTGCCCTCTCCAAGTATTTTATTAATATTTCTCGTTGCTTGCCGTGGACGTTAGTCCTTTTGGAACTCATAAGAGATGATAGCGCAAAGTGCGTATTGATCCATTGTTGCAATTATATTTTAAAGAAAGTTAGATTTGTATCCTACAAAATTAAACACCTTGCGAATATATTGACAGAAAAATGTTTTTGAAAATTATACCATGCACTGATTGAGCCTCATCTCACATATGGTATATTGGTATGGGGAGCTGCATGTTCCTCACATATCTATAATTTAGATGTTTTTCAAAAAAGTATTTTAAAAATGATGTTTAAAAAACCGAAACTTTATTCCACTGACAAACTATTCGCAGATGTACGAATGTATGATATAAGACAGCTTTAATTCTTACACAGTATCACTCGCTACTATAAATTTGTCAACACCGACCAAAAAATTAAACATAATCATTACACAAGGTACAAAATTCGCGACACAGTAGTTCCTCAGCTGTATAAATCTATAATGCAGCGGTCATATATCTATTTATCGCCAAAATTTTATGAAATTATACCTAAAGACTTTAAAGATTTACATTTCGGAAATTGTTTCAAAGAAATTTAAAAAAGTGGCTACATTCTATATCTAGGACTGAAATTCATAAACTCATAAATACGAACATCAACATCATAGATTGCTCCTCAGGGGCCCCATATCAAAGTTTGTAGGGGAGCCCCCAAAAGAAGGGTAAACTTTGAAGTATAGATTTTAACAAAAACGCTTGCATTGAATAACATGAATTGTCACGTACCGATCATAGGCATCCCCAGAAAGCTTTCTCAGTCAGGGGAGTGATCATCGGCAAGAGATAACTTTCTGTGAAGGTGTACCTACCCTCAAAGCTTTTTGAGGACCAAGGGATAGAAAAGTCTTTCGGAGTGAGGGGAGTACTGTGTATGCGAAAATTTTAGAAATCCTATGTTTATTGTTTTGTGTTGTCTGCAACACGTAAACCCATTTGTGCCGATACTAGGCAAGGCAAGATCATTTTTTAAAATCGCTTAAACGGCAAGCGGTGTTATAATTAAAAAATAAAATAATATTTTTAAGGGTAATCTTTGTGAAGAAGTTAAAATTCTTAATAAACGGAAAATTTGCTCCCATCATTTCTGATTGCTGCAGGCTAGAGTATATTCAAATACATTATGGAACTCAAACATTGTATTTCTTTAGCAAGACTCATCTTTTAATCCATTAGAGTCAATGAACAATTTGAAAATTTCAAATGCTTGGCATGGAGTTAATCTACTTGCCATTATTTTTTTTAAACCATCCATAGCCCAAAACGATTTTATTGTTTCAAAATGTTCAGCCTCTGAAGACGCTTGATAGTCAAAGTTGCAACATAGAAGACCTGAGATATTTTAATTATACATTAATTTCGCAAAAGCTTTTTTCAGCTGTTGCAATCTGTAGGGTTAAGAATACTTAGAACGGCTACTAGCACCTAGCCGAACAATTTAAAATTTAGCGCTTGATCATTTTTAATTTCGCTTACGGCCTGAAAACTTGCGTGAGATTGTGAAAAACGCGATACGCGCTTTTTATGTACGTGGCCTCCGTACCATTGATTTGGCTGATACGGCGGTAGCTAGTTTGAGAGAAAAAGCTTACTTTTTGTACAAAGTGTATCAGAACTTAGTTACCAACGAACGCGTTATACGCCTCAGTCCAAAAAGTTATGAGAGATGAAATGAGATTCTGCAACGTTTTCTATGAGAATTTGTCACAGCTATGTTTTTTCCCTCCACTCTATTTAAAGATCTACCATGTAAGCATATCATAGATGGCGCTATAGCCAAATACATACTGTATGCTAACACACTTGGCTACAGGCCCATCTGTGAGAAGCTAACCTTTTCAAGGTAGATTTGTAATTAGCGAGGAAATGAGAGGCATAGATATGACAATTTTCATTGATGACTCTACGCTATCTTATGTCTAGGGACTCACTGAGTCAAGTAGCTTGATATTTTTAGACGTTACTTGACTTGACAATAAAATTACTAGAGACGTTAATGGTTGAGCCTTAATTTTTTTATTGTTCTACTTAACGTGCGGTCAAGCATTTTCAAATTATTTGATACTTGAGGTCAAATTATAGTTTTATTCTACTAAAGGTCTTCAGTGATATTTATTTGTACGATCGCTGAATCGTATTTCGTATATTAATACAAATAATCAGGAGTAGTGGAAAGGGCATGAAAAAGTAAGCCCAAATCTAGTTTTAATGGAAAGATATTTTTTATCGACACCTGCAACATCAGTGTCCATTGAAAGAGAATTCTCTACGCCTACACTGATTATTTATTATGGAACCCTGGAACAGATTAAGCAATACATCTGTTAGGACCCTCAGGTGTCTTAACTCGTAGTTAGTGAGTGAAAAGCTATAATTTAAAATTTATCATTTTTTTGTATCAGCTGATGAAGAAATGTTTTTTATCTGAGTTCACAGTTTCGTCGTTCTTTCATTTGTTATACGTTCGACAGAGTATTTTGTTCAATATGTATTGTTTTCTCTGTAACTTGTCACATAGTATTTCCGCTGTGTAAACATAACCTACTACTGCATTACAAAAATTACAAATTAATATAAAGACTTTTTGAATTTCGAAGTACTTGACATAAAAACTATTTGACTCGATTTACACTAATATCTAATACTTGACGAGCTTGACTTGATTTAAAGTCAGTCAAGTAGGTTGGAAATGAAGACGAATGCCTACTTTTTTCATCTCTGGTATTTTTTTCAGCGCGGGAATACAGTATTCGGTTGACTATCTTCAAGGAAAATACTTTAATCAATTATTATAGCAACTCTTGCAGAAGACCCTATTGGTGCAATATTTTCAAAATGGATTCACAACTTACTAGAATCAGTGTAATAGTAATATTAAAAGAGAGGTGTGGACGCAACATTGTTTGGCAAAAATTATTCATCAATACCTGAAAAATCAAGGATCATGATATGAATTGTCTGTGGGTCATTTCGAAAAGCTAGTAACATGAAATTAAAAAGTTTTGACCTCAAATAATACTTCTCTCGATCAATGTGTGGGAAGTAAAATGGAAATTACTAAAGTGCAGAGTGCCAAAATCCTGACCTACGTATATATGGTGATTCAGAAAAGAGTTGTACTATTTCTATGGAAAAGTTCGTGTAACAAGCCTCAAACCGTTTTACTTTGAAAGAATTTAAACAATATTTTTTACTATAGCTCCAGAATCGGCGGCATGTATCGGCCACAGTGGTTTCCCGATCGGCAGTACGGGACACAGTTCCAACAGGCAGCTTGCTCTTTCCACTTTCGCAGTGGTCGATTCTGGTAATAGATGGCGCTTTGTGCTGTCTTATTTCAATATTCGTTTTCCGCCTTTACGCCTTCTCATCAGTGGTGTAGAAATCTACAGGACCCGCTATATTGACAATACGAGATTTCAGAACATATGTTTACAGAAGCTATTTTTGCGGTTTCATGAGTGAAAAACAAAAAAAATGTCTAGCACCAAATATGTACATATAGATCTATTCAAAAGTGCGTATTGGTGACAGTGTTTTTTTCTGATGAATTTCGCTTGCAATCTGATACCTCCATAGCATTTTTTTGCAAAAACAATATTCTGTTTACTTGATGGAAGCAACCAGTCCGTCAAGTCAATCAAATCCTATTTTCATTTAAATTATTGCATAAATGCAACAGAAGAAAAGATATTAGGTACTGAATTTTGTATAGTCAAAAACGTCATACACTAGGACAAGGTTCACGCAGCACATTTATAAGTTTTAAGGTATAATGTACGGCAAAATCTGTGATATGTGAAATATGTCTAATAGGTGCGTATAATTACCAAGGTTAGGAACGTATAAATATACTAATATAAACAAATGATCAGAATTCTCTAAAACGTCAAAAAACGCAGTTTGAGCGATATTTATTCTTTTTCGTTTTTGGGCTTTTTCTCTGCCGTCACCGATTTTCAAAAACTACAAAGCTTTTTCGTCCTTGGCATAGTTCTAAAAATTTCATCGAAATCTAAGCGGTACTTCTCAGGTTATAGGCGGTTATAATATTAGCGGACAGACCAACAGACAGACACATCGACGGAAATGAGTGACATGGTCTTTCGTGATGTACTTGTCATATCATATCCAAAAAACAGAATGACAGTGGGCGGGGAAGCAAAAAGAGACCCGAGACCGAAGATAAAAATAACAGAACAAAACATATGCAACACGTACCATATATTGGGCAATATGCATCCAGCATACTTGCTTTGATATCCGTAACATTTCGACGCGCTGCATGTCCCGGGAAAAATTGTTGTAATAGAAACATACCTGCTAACTTTTCTAGAATCTAGTCACAACAGTTCATCATGGGACCACCGTGTATTTGATAGAAGATGCTGGAAGTGTCCAGCTGCAGCTAACGGCGTTATCTGGGGGACATCGCCAGCGCGTTGCCGATATGCCGGCGTTGCGAGCCTATAAAGCCGGCGTTTCTTTCGCTATGAAGAACAGTCCAGTGAAGCGGTATCGAAGTGATTACGTTTTCGCGGGAGAGCTTCTAAGGCAGTGTTCACACGGCCATACACAACGATGTTTTCCAAAGCATTGGTATTGTGCGCGTTTCTCGTCTTGCAGGTCCACTGTGATTTCTACAGGTGAGTCAAATAATGTCACTTTTTATTGATATGTGTGAAAAATCTCAGGAAAAAAATCACAATTTTGCATGGAACATACAAGTAGACAACAGACATTAAATTATTGGCAAGGCATTGCCTTTTCATCGGGAAAGTACTGGTTTTTACACTCGACGGATGGACAAAATTGTCGAAAAAGGTGAAAGTGCTAAAGGGTGGCGAGGCCACCTTTTTATGACAGAATTTCAAATTATGAAGAAAAATATTCCATCTCTTTTCAAAGGACAAGGAAGGAGTAAATAATATGAAAATGCATGAGAAAACGGTTACTTGTATTGAGAAGTGACAGTTTATTCTAGCTTAATTTTAAGCTGTCGTCAGCAAAAAAATAGGCGAATCTTTTCAGATTTTTTCGAAATTGGGATAAGATACCACGATATTGTCAAGGGCTTATTGGTAATGTATTCGTGCGCGATCCTAACAACCGCAAGTTAAATAAGCCTTTCTAGATCTTCAATTATGTGTTTATATAGGACAGTGTTCCTCAAAGTAAAGAGGAAATTGGGGGGCGATTAAATGAGTTTTGTGATGCGACGCAATGGATAATTTTTGTCCCTCGATTCTCAGTACCTCCCCCCCCCCCCGGTCTTCACACTCCCCCTCTTCAAAATTGTCATAAGAGTATTCGTTTTCAGGGGCACTGATGTAGTGATGCAGCAGAATATTCAAAATGCAAATACCTCCCCGCGAGACGGACATCTTGAATAATTTTCGGGAGCGCTATAAAATAATTCAGAGTGGGCAGTACATGAAATAGGTTTAAGGACCTTTGATATAAGGCGATTAAAAACGATAGCAATATTTTTTAGACCAGAAAGAGACTCCAAAAGTAACGCAAAATGTTTCCCTACTCATATTTTGACTTATTACCAAGAGATAGGGTCTGTAAATTTCTAAGCCACTGACAGGGCTGACTGGGGGTGGGAGATGGACATTCTTTGAATAACGTTGGAGTTGGAGGAGTTATTTTCTGATTATACTACATTCAATTTTTAAGGGGGCCGTTCAGACATCGCAAACTTTTTGTATGTTATGATCATGTATCGGTCCCTAAAAGAGCAGGTGGTAGCAAATTTTCTCAGGTGAGGAATCTAAAAAATCTCAAATATGCTAAATAGATAAGTTTTAGGAGGCAGCCAAGGTGGGAACAATGGCATCCCGTGGCATCCCCCTGCGAGCGCTTTTATACCGATTGTACCTCAAATGTTCCCATTATTCTTCAGGAATGACTTGCCAGAAATTTTTCAAGGAAAGATAGCTTATGCAAAATTGTATCATAAAAAAATTCTCAAACAGTCAGTTTTGTGGGAGTTTAAAATATCTTAGTTGGTACACAATAATCTCTATCTACTCCGAAGATAAATTTCTTTCTGATAGGTATAGATATTGTAACTTTATTTCGGCAAGGAAGCACATATAAATCATATTTTCAAGAGATGGTCGTTTTATCATTTGATGTAGTTTCTGGACTAGGAATAATGATAGTATTTTTTAGATTCCCCTGTATATAACGAAAGCTCTTGTCATTGTCTCAGTATGTCTTTCGACTATATGGTTAATTATGGAAAATTTTTAAATTTTTTGCTCATAAACACGCTGCCCCTACATCGATTTTAAAAAATAACAGCCTCCTTCTATGTCGATTCAGGATACTATTGCACAAATATCAAAACCGGTGCCATGGTTGCCGATATTACGGATGTAGGGAAACACAGAGAGACAGGGACATAAATTTGTGATCACCCATACTTTCGTCACATATGCATAGCAGAATAGAGTATCAAAATCAAACACAATCTGGGCGAGGTCAGTAGTACTGCTAGTAAAATCAGGGTTTTTTTCTTTCCTGGTAGTTGTTCGACCAAAGTCCCAGGTGGCACTGCAGCCAGTTGGGCTTGCGGTCAGATATAACCAAAACTCAGCCTTGAAACCTAATCACTTCATATTCACAGCCGCGTAATGTAATTAGCGCTTAATTTCATTATCTAGAAGTTTCAAGCAATAACAAACTGTGACACATTAGTATGTTGTACCTGCACCAACATAAACACAGTTGATGTAAGCAAAGTCACGTAATTTCTAGAATGATGACTAAACCGGGGTGGAGCTTTTTTATTTTCTATAACCATTTAGATACCATCAATGTAATGTAGATGCGTGCTTTGTAGGTTACACGAGTCTATTATTTATTGTAGAAGCGCTATTATTATACATGGTGGTCGCAATAACAGAAAGGAATATGCCGCAAACAATGCATATACATTGAATGAGTAGTTTGTTGTAATGCGGGTACCACACGATGCTTCCAACGTTGTATACAACGTTGTGTGCAACGTTGTTTACAACGTTCGACATACCATACTTGACAAGTGCGTCTTGTACACGATGGGATGAACTTTTGAGTCTCGGAAGTTCGACGCATTGTGGCGCCAACATCTACTATCGGTGTCAGTGTCGCGCTTGAACCTTTACAACTGAAGGAAAAATTATACAAAATGAACGATAAAACAATTTTTCGAATGTCGAAAAATAATTTCAGATCTGCCTTCAGCGACCAAAATCTAAGTCTGTCAGAAGCCTCAGAAATGTCGAAAAACGGAGGTTGGCCGTTTTTTGTTTGTTTTTCGAAGATCACACCGCCGCCACTGTACCGATTTTCAAAAACTGCACAGCTTTTTCGTCATTTTCAAGGTAGTAACCTAGTGTAAAAAATTTCATCCTTAATCATGATAGTACTTTCAGAGTTATCATATATTTAATCATTTTCGTTAGTTACGAAATGCAAGTCAATATATCTCTCAACTAGTCTTGCATTGCAACATGACATTATAATGAAACAACTATAAGCACTTGATAATTTATAATTTACTGAAATACATATCCTTAGGCCAGCCATAACTCACCTGCGAAACGTACAAAACATCAGCAATATGAAAAAGGTGTTGTTATGGCAGCCTATACTTTGTATGTGTACTAATTTAATTCATTCTCCTCAGCAGTTAGCTACGGGAATACATTATTATGAATAGGTAGGTATTCAAATCAAAATACTACCCACATACCACTAAGTACTTCGCCACAATCACAGCAGACAAGTAAATAATGTTTTTCGCCGCTACTAGGTTCTAATCTAAAACCATCAAACACATGACATCTCGTGTCGGAGCGTAACGAACTTTGCTTGCAACGTTGTAACGTCCTTTGACGCCGGTCAAATTTACCGACAAGCGTTCTCCCACACGATGAGGTGAATGACCATGTGTCCAACGTTGTAAGGCATTCGCCACATCGTGTGGGACTGGTTAACATACATGTCACTGTAATTTGAACAACTCTTTTAAGCCTCCTAAACATTCGACACTGTAGGATGATCTGCTCATTCTGATTTTACTTGAATATTTCAAGTTATTGGAAATACCAATAATAAATAGGGGCGGAATACCAAGTTATCAGCGTTAGGGCGCGGTACCGAATCCACCATCCTTCCATCTCTCTAGCCGCTTGACATGATATAAACAAAGCGAATAAAATGATTCTTTATCATTAATAGTAGTAATGTTCTAGCATCACATTTCCAACGACTTGAAACCGACGAGCATACGCAGTTCAGAAAACCTGTTCAAGCAAGGGTGAAACCTAGTTGGGAATTATCGGTCGACGGTCTCACAGGATTTTGGCGGGACTTGTATTCTCTGACATGCGCATATCGCACAAGATGTTGTTTTATTATGAATCCCTCATGATTTGAGGTTGTGGTATTTGAATTGTGTTATGGTGCTTGCGTCTTTCTTAGTTTTGTTCCAACTTTGAACAGTTTGTATCAATTGAAAGCACTGAAGCCAGATCATAGTTTTTATAAAATTTGGTGTGTACTAGTTTTTTATTGTGTATACGTATACTAAGTGACATATAAATCCGAACACCCAGTTTAAATTGTTTTATTTTAATAAAATTTTGTATAAGTACTTAATGAAGCATAATAAGTAAATGATAAAAATTTCAAAATGATTGCACTGCTTTAAAGCCCTTTGACCTTTAATAATGTGTGGATGCACCCTGATGTGCTATGCATTCTCCAACGCGCCTAGGCATGCTTCTGATCAGGTGGTCAATGTCCTCCTGTGGTATCTCATTCCAGGCAACCACCAACTCCTCTCGAAGTGCTTCTAGAGTCTGAGGAGGACGTTGCAAATTGAGCAATCTCCTACCCATCATATCCCACACGTGCTCAATTGGGGATAAGTCGGGAGATCTTGGTGGCCATGGTAACAATGTGACATCACTATGTTGAAAGAAGTCTATTGTGACTCTTGCAACATGTGGTCGGGCATTATCTTGTTGGAAAGTTGGATCTGCCAGGGTGTCAAGATAGGGTAAAAGATGGGGTTCTAGAACTTCGTGGATATAACGCTGCGCGTTCATGTTACCTCTGATGAAGATTAAAGGTGACCTGGAACCATAAGCTATAGCATACCCCAAACTATAACTCCAACAGTGTGATGAACATGTCTTTCAACAAAAAACTGTCGATTCCTCCTTTCACCACGTCGCCTTCTAACCCTGGCACGACCATCGTGCATGCCTAAACAAAATCGAGACTTGTCACTAAAGACAATACTGTTCCATTCCTGATCCCAGAGTGGCCGTTGTCTGCACCACTCAAGGCGATTACGTCGGTGTTCTCGAGTTAAAGGGAGGACCCAGTGTGGCCGGTATGAAAACAAGCCAAAACTTCTCATTCGTCGGTAAACACTTCGCATGCCAATAGGTCTTCCGTGTTCTGCAAACCATTCATTTGCAATGGACCTGGTACTGGAAAAACGGTCCCTTAAGGCCAATAATCTTAGGCGGCGATCTTCACGGTCTGTTGTTCTACGGCGGCGTCCAGTGCCCCTTGCTCTTTGCGTACGGCGTTCTCGAAGCCATGCCTGACAACACCTAACCACAGTGTCTACACTTCT